TATTTCTTTTTAATTAAAAAATTAATAACCTATTAAAAAAATGTGGGTAATCCTGATAAACGAATTATTAATGTACTTATCATACATTTATTAAGTTAGTCCATAAGACTTTCCGGAGATTCAAAAAGATTCAAAATAACTTTATTTGCAAACTTTAAGGAAAATTTGAAATGTACAGAAAGATTAATAGTAATATACAAAATATAAATATGAAACATTTAAAATTCTCGTTTTAAAGTCATCACAACATTAAAGTACAATTTTTTTTTTTTTTTTAAATAAGAAAACATTATAAATGACACAATTACAACAACCACAGCAACAACTACAGCTACAAAACAAGTAAAAGAAAAAGCAGGGTACCGTACCAAGAAAGGACATCAAAATTATGGAAATTAAAAATAAGTGTCAATCAATCTTAAGTGACCAATCACAGCATCGCTAAGAATACGCGCTGGTCGGTGGTATTCAGTTTTAGCTTGGCTAACAAAATGACCAATTAATTACAGGTTCAGAAATAGGCGTATGACCATGAAATATGTATGTGTAAAATGTAATATAATTTCAATAACCGTAAAAAATATATCAAGGCATTAATTGTAAATAAATACCGGTACTATACAAGATTCTTTGACATTGATCCACTACTAATACAGTACGATATTAATGACTCAGTACCAAAAATACAGATCATGTAGGCTTTATTTGAACTATTCCGGGGGTAAAAGTTTTGTGATCCTCTAAAGTAAATGAATAGAGTATAATGAAATCGAAATGAAACACTGCAAATATATCAACATTTAAACCACATTTACTATCATCAATGACGTGTTTGTTCGGAAGTTCCTCTAGCTGATGACTCATGACTTCTAACTTTTCGGAAATGAAATGTGTGACGTTGACAATGATAAATGTCGAATTGTCACAAACATATATGCATATTAATTATAAAAAGGCATGTAAGATAATAATAATAATAGTCATGTAAAAGTATTTTTATTGCTTAAAGATGAAGAAAGATATAGTTCACAGTAATCGACATTGTTTAATTTAATGTTAATTTTAAAAACATTGTTATCCTGAATTGTGACACCATTTTGTTACGATGCAACCTTCTATTGCATATTAAATATGATTGCTGGATATTTCAGTAATTGCCTGAAAGGGGTAGGCCTATATGCCTCTGACAGGCAACTGCCGCGGTCCGGGAAACACCGCGGCAGCACCGCCTCTCGCGCCCATGGGCCAGCAGTTCAGCTGCAGGCCCATGGGCTTGAGAGGCGGTGGCGGTATCGTCAGGACTACAAAACCTGATGAAAGGGGAGGTTTCCCCTTTTTCCATTTTTTTTTAAATTTGCCAATATTTAAAATAACTTTATTTATCAATGTAATAATCATATAGAGAAATTTGCATTGGTGTAATGCCGAACTAAATCAAATTACACCCACAAAAATATGCACACCTCAGTTACACAAAGAAGCTATAGCACCCGGTCAAAACAAATATATTTTGCTCTAATGTATGGGAGGACCCACACTGGAAGCAGGGGTAGATTTAGGGCTGCGGACCGGCCCCTATAGTATTATTATATTATCATTATTATTATTATTATTATATTATTTAGAGTGCTGAAGGCTATACTAGCTAGCTGTAAATTTTTCACGTCGCGGTGAGCGAGGTAGGATTCACTGCGTGTGGGGTGGTAATATCTCCTCATGCTGTAATAAATTATAATGAAGCTTACATCAAAATACAGTAAACAGGACAAATAAATAGGATCCAGCATAGGCCATATAATTATATACCATCAAAGGCTTATTTAATCGATTTTAGCCTAAAGTCGATTAAATAATTCCTTTGAAACCCCTAAATTGTCAAAATTTTGACAACTAATATGTAGAAAAAACATATAATTTTTTTTCTCCCCAACAAATTGTGCTTTTTATCCCCGACCTGGGGGCCAGCTCTCCCTTTTTCCCGTTCCTTTGTTTGAGCCACCTAGGTATGGGGGCGCCACCCCTGCTCTAAACTTACTATATAATATTCTCTATATTAAGTATTCATTTTTGAAAGAAAATATTATATTAGTCTAATGATTACATTACATTTTGGAAAAAAGTTAATAAGCCTAAATCGTTATTTTTTGGGTTAAATTATTAACTCTGAACTTTAGGGTCTGTCATTATTCATATACAAAAAATAATGGATCGTCAGGCATGGAACACGACACGGGCGGCTACATACACAGGTACAGACCTGCATGTATAATTCAAATTGAAACAAAGAAACAACGAAAGGAACTTATACCTGAACAAAGACATGGAGAGTTTCTGTAACTCCTTTTTTGGGTGCTCCCATCGTCATGAGGCTATGAGGCTTTTAGATAACCCCTTTTCAGTTGCAAATCCAATTGCATACAGTATTAATTTGTTATAAAAAATATAGGGTCTGTGATTTTTTGTTAGTCGACAGTGCTGACCTTGTATACAGGGTACGGTATTTCTAAACTTTACTTTTCGTCATTGATTAAATGAAAATATCATGATGCAATATGTAAGCGTTTCCTTTCTGCGGTGTGTCTGTTTATTTAAAACCAGCTCTTCATTGAGGCACGATAAAGGAAGAGACATTTATGTAAGCAGGCTTGTTTTTATCTTTGTTTTGATTGCCGTCGGAAGACGGCAACAAAATACGATAGGTTCAGTGAAGCCAGATTGCGCATGCGCTAGTAATGCCTTCAGACACTAATAAATAATTCATGATTTTTTGCTCAACTTACCTACGATAAAAAAATCCCTGCCTAATGGACACACTCCATCCCGGAATCGAAGTGGTGGCGCCCGTGGTGACGCCAGTGGGGGAGGGGAATTTTCCCCTTTGTCATGGAAAATAAAAAACTAATAAGTTGGCTATCCAAATAACGTTATTTTGACTTCCAATCCCTAATATTGCGGTCTAAAAAGCATATTTTCTACCATAATAAGCCATAAACTCTCCCAGTGGAGAGGTTTGGTCGGCCCTTTGGCTTGGACCCCACCAGCGTCGGACATGTCGGACCCCTTGTCGGCAAATTTCTAGCGCCAAAACCCTGCTCCATCGATGGAAGATAGGCAAGCACTGGTCAGTGGAAGTAGAAAAGGGACCTAAAATGACGACTTAAACAAAAAATAAAATAATAATAATAATAATAATAATAACAATAATAATAATAATAATAATAATAATAATGATAATGATAATAAAAATAATAATAATAATAATAATAATAATAATATTGAACGCACTCACCACAGAAAACACAAAATAAGTAGCTGCTAGTTGGCGTAAAGCGTGTGACGTCATTCAAAAACGGGTCATGAGACTTACATGACAAGAAAGCTCAAGTTATGAGCTAAACTTGACCATTCACCTTCAATGGTTGCCAAGTTATATTTTGAAGAAGAAGCAGGAAGTATATCAAAAAACACTCTAATTTTAACCTTTTTCCTATGCAAAAGCATAAGACGTTGTCAACTATAGAAAGAAAAATTATCACTCAATTTTGCATTAATTGTACGAATATTATATAAATGATTATAAAGCTTAAAATATCTTGTCATGATTTAATATTTCGAAATTAATTATGTCACCATCAGGAATGACGACATAATTGATGTCGAAATATTGAATCAATATTTCAACATTAATTATGTCATCATCAGATGACATGATTAATATCGAAATATTGAATCCTGACACGATGGCGTGCATTGATACGTATGTATTATACTATCTTATCTGAGATTATTCAGTGGAACTTTTCGTTCTTAAAATATCTAGTTTTATAATCCGATCACCCCAGAGATTGTCAAATGAAACCATTCAATTATATATAGTCGATTTTTAGGAGAAAAAAAATGAGTACTGTTTTAACTCATTTACTGTGAGCAGTGATTCGTTCAGTAAACAGATGACTAAAAGTTTTCATTATGATGTTAAATTGCAATTATAAATAAATTAACTAACAAAATCTTGAATTCTGTAGTTTTCAATATATTTATTCCACCTTTTTCCCTTTCTCTCTTTAAAAATTCTATCTATTCTCTACTTTTCCTTTCCTTTCATTTATATACAACATTGTCCTTTCTTTTGATCTATCCATTCCTTTTTAGCCTTCCTTTCGTTTCCTTCGCTCATTCTATCTATTCTTTACTTTTTCTTCTATCTTTCTTTCTTCATTCTTTCTCTTTCGCATTCCCTTATCAATCTTTTGGGGTTTTTTTTCATATTTTCATTTCAACCTTTTCTTCCATTTTTATATCTTCTTTTTTTTAATATTCCTTTTCAGCCTTTCATATTTTCTTTAATAAGAATGCATGTTATGACATACATCAGAATCCTATATGAAAGTATACACAAAACATAAATCCCCATGGTTAAGGGGAACATTTGACAAGATTGGTTTATACGAAACACATGTGGTCTATACCCCTGGGTTTTAATAAACAAATAATTAAATTATTTCAAATCAAATCATTTGATAAATCATTTTCCATTATAAATGAAGACAAAAACGCAATCTCCAATTAAAAAAAAAAATATATCAATTAGCCAAAGTAAAAAAAAACAAAAACAGAAGCTTGTAATTTTTAATGTATTTAGTCTTGAATTTCCTAATGCTTGGATATATTTTAATAATTATTAACTTCTAAATAGAAGTTGTTTTTGTATTAGTTTCAACTTTATCCAAACAGAAATTTCTTTACTTTGGGAGAAACGTTTTTTTGTCCTTGTTCTCAAAATGTCTATTTACTTTACGAAGTTCCATTCATTCACTTTTGCATAATCTTGCTAACAGAAAGACAGGACGAGAGACAGCGGTGAATGCATAACCTCCTTCGGTGGAGGTAACTGAAGCAGTCACTTCAGAGTGCATACATGCAAATGCAAATGTGCCAATCGACAGCTTCACAGTATATATGTGACAACATCCAAAGAAACACAGATCAAATCAATATACTGCAGTTTACACTCATTTACATTTTATTATAAAAACCCTAAAAAGAACAGAGGAATGGCATCACTGAATGTTGAGGACAATATTTTTCACATTACATTTTCAATTGAAAGCTGTATACCTACATTAATATTTGCATGACAGGTAGTAACTTTGGTAAGGATAAAAACCTCTCCTTATGATAATTACACAAGATTTTTTTTTTTTAATGTTTGTCCCTATTGGGTTTTCACACTTAGTATCCCAAAATTAAACCTAATCTGTGAAATAATTAAAGGTAAGCCAGTAAGTTTTAAGCTGTAATTTCTTTTCGAATCAATATACTTATTATAATTTAATACTCTACCTTCAACTGCTTAAAACCAACTTTGAACATGATGAGTATAAAAAAATCATATACTGTATGCCATTTTTGTAATAATTCTTAACATTTTGACCTTTGACCTCATTTTTTGAGGTAATGAATTGGTAATGAGGGTCCTTTTATATTATTTTCTTAGTTGTATTTTTCTGTGCATTTTGACACCAAAAATCAACCATATATCATATTTTAGTGTTTTAGGTTGGATTAATGACCTTTAAACCCCAAAAAGTAATTTCCCCACTCTCCTATCACCCTAACCTTGATTTGGTGTATCCTAGTATGTATTCCTACACAAATAAGTTGAAATCACAATCTTTGTAATATTTTAAAATGATATATGCCAATTTAGTGACTAAAAACTATCATTTTTGACATTTTGAACTTTGACCTAAATTTTCAAAGTCAAAGATTGATTATGAGGGCTTTCAATATCTTTTTTGCTATATATTTCTGTGCATTTTGCCACCAAGATTAAACATATACCATAGAGTGTTCCGGAGATACACCTTTTAGTATTTTAGATTAGGGTCGATGACCTTTAACCCCTCATAAAAATTCCCCCACACCTTAACCCATCTAATTCTTTTTTGGTGTATCCTGGTATATATCCTTACACAAATCAGTTGAAATCTGCTTCTTTCTAATTTTTTCACAGATTGGCCCTAATTTTGGAATACTAACTTATACAGTTCAGATTCTCCACCAACTGAGCTTTAAGGCCCAGTCGTATACACCCCCATATCTTGTATTAAGATAAGTTTTATTGTCAAAGTATTATATTAAACACAATAATAATTAATCACTTGGTATACTGTACCAGTATTGTCTGGTATTGAAAAATTGTTTTAGAAAAAACGTATTGTGCTATCAATATTTCAGAGCTTTGTGATTTAGTCATTTCCCATATACAGTACTTAAATATACAAAGTAAGCAATTAAATTATCAAATTTTTTTTTTTCCACTCAACACAGTTGGCCTATTGTAATGTAATTGAATACTGTAGCAAAAGTTGTTATATCGGGCACTCATACACATGAACTGCTTTGTCATCTGATACTGAAACTATTTTTGAACCATTTCCATTGTACTTTGCTTGCCACACCTGAAAGAGAAAAAAGTGATTATTCTTAAGGCCTACTCAGACTGCGTCGGCCGACGCAGCCCAACCCGATTTATCGTCGGGGACAGACTTAAGCCATCGTGAGAAATATTAAACATGTTTAATATTCTACGACGCGACTGCCCCCGACACAAACCATCGCGTCTGCGTTTAACTCACGCAGACCCGACGGGACAACAGATCGAGCTGCGTCGTACGACACTGTCTGAGTTGGCCTTTACATATTTCTATCTCTAACCATATCATCAACTTGTTAAATAGAGTGCAAGATTCAAGATAAACCTTATTGTCAATAAATGTGTACATTCGATATTAGTTCCACGTTTCAATATAGAATATGCCAGATAAAAAGAAGAAAGAACAGTACTGTACAAAGTGATAATACCGATTGTAGCTCCCATCGGCGACAGAAATGTGACATACGTCAGCAATTCGCCACCAAGTTGGCACCTATTGCAGGGTTCCAGCTGCTGAAGCAGAGGGCGTGTTTGTACGCACCAATCAAGTGACGCGCACACAGACCAAAATGGTGACCAGAACACAATCAGAACCCAAACCGATGCAGGTGACGGTCCATCACAGATGGGAGCCACAACCGATATTCAACAATCTTAACTATAAAATATATTAATTTTAACGCAGTTGAGAGTATTTATATTTTTATTATTATTATTATCATTATTATGAGCATTACCATCACAGTATAACATATTTGTGTCTCAGAAAAATACTTTTATGATACGGATGTTTTAATTCCCCTTCACTGTTGGTGGCGAACACTTTTAAAAAAGCATTTTAATGCAACATTGTTTTCTTTTGTTTTATTATAGAAGAGATGATACTTTAACAAATCTGATGGCTGCCAGGCCGACCTAACACGAACCGACAGTGCAGCAGCGTGGTCTACCACGCTAGAGCCTATCTGAATTTACCTTCGATAAAAACCAAATTATTTTAATCGCTGGCATTCTTACATTTAACAAAATATTATTTTAACTCTTATTCAAACATCTGTATGTTTTATAGACCTTTCTATTGGGTTCTTTCTAGTTGTGAGATCGCCAAATGGTGTTGTTTATATGCATTTCGCGATCATATCTAGCATTCACGATGTCAATAAGTTGCTGACCTGAATACTCTCATTAGTCATCGTAAACATGTGCCCTCAATCCAACGACACTTACGTTGGTAGTTCGTTGTTCTGGTTAGGTTTATTATACCAGAAATGGAAGAAAAGATCAAAATGCTAATAAATAAATACAACAAACTTGATTTTTTAAACAAAAATACATATTATCACTTGGACTATTTTTACAGTAAAAACTGGTCAATGATGACGTCATTAGGGGCAAAAGACCATTCGTAAAATCGACTATTCGTAAAATGGACGTTTTACTGTGTATATATATATATGTATATATATATATGTGTATATACATATATATATATATATATACATACACAACAGGTAGTTCATTGATAGGTTATGTTGCAATATAAGTGGAATTACAATAGAAATAAGCTGAACAATCATACCATTTGGTATCACAGAGCTTATATGTGCCCAGGGCACTTACTGAAAAACTGCTTTTAGGGTGGATGCTTACTGTAGATTGGATACTGGAGTGTACACAGTGAAAAATGTGCCAAAATTGTATTTTACAAGTATTCTGGAGCATTTAGCATTAGTTTATAGTCAACAGAAATCATTAAAATATAAATTTGAAACCTGCCTGGTCATAGTGGTCTTGGAATGTTGCTACACACTGCTTTGTAGAAGTATCCCAAACTTTTACTGTCTTATCTGACGAACTAAATGGAAATAAAATATTATTACATACCATTGTGAAAAAAAACCCCCTCTGTTCATTTGAATTGCTCATTTGGCATACCAGTTTCGCGTTACATGGCTGAGCGGTAAGGTAGGGGCGCCGTTAGCTACAGCCTTAACATCAGTGCTGGTTTCAGCCGCTCCTCGCCCGGGGTGCGTTTGGTAGAACCAAGTATTCACAGATATGGACTTAAAATAGAGGGCCAGTGTGCCAGTGTATACATCTGACTCGTGTGTACATTAAAGAACCCATTGCATCTTTCGGAAGAATACGGAGTTACCCCGATGTCATAGTTCATTTCAGCACCTGTCGTTGTGGAATGATGTGAACATGTACATGTAGCTACCATGAAGCGCCTCTTTATGGCTGATAGGTAGTCACAGACTACGCCCATAGGCAATTCAGCATAATGACGCGCAAAGTTATGGGTTATTCTCCTACCTTTACCTTTAGTATTTACATATATACTGTCAGCTTTCAGTGCAATTCAAGTGTTAAAGGGGAAGTGAAGAAGAAACATTTTTATTAATTACAACATGTCGGTAGGTATTAAAGTCTTAAAGCTTGATAGGAAAAAATGATTGTTGCAACTTGGGTCCAAAATCGAAAGTGGTGATATTTACTCAAATTTAACAGTGTAGTAGAATCTACAATGACTATTAGATATTCTTACATCAAATAAACAAATCTATTCTTTGGAATGTTTTTCATTTCACCAAAATCAATAATTTTTCTATAAAATGGAAGTTGGACATAATTTTCATTTTGGTAGATTAAACATAGATCAGGTTAGATAATTAATTTGAGGACATGAACACTAATGAGTTTTATGAAACTGACTTCCAAGCAAGTTGAAAAGTAGATTTTAAAAACAAAATGTACATAGTGGTTTATTTTTATGCTGTAATTAGCAAGACATTAATTACCAATTATCAAATTAGCAAAAACAAATGAATAAAATAAATTGCTAGTTTTTATGTCATTGCCCTCATCAAATCTTGGAGCTTAAAAAATATTTTTAAATCCTGGATATGACACTAACACTTCTTTTTTTATTTGGCCCAATGCTAAACACCTCAAAGCTGATCTTTTCTAGGCTTTGAAGGTGTAATTTGTACAAAGATTCAGCATAAATGAAAATATACTAGATACAAAAGACGAAAAAATCACATGGGCTTCTTTTCAAGACGGGCTTCTTTTCGAGACTACTTTTGCAAAGTAAAGGGGGCAACTTTTCCAAATAAATGCTGTAAAATTTGTGAATTTGTACTGTAAAACAATAAATAAGTCCACTGTAACATCAATCAGTATCATGGAGTATATTTAACAGGCATTAAATCACCTAAACTACTGTATAAACCAAGCTTGTATTTAATTGGTGATCCGCTTCTCAAGCTGATCACCTCTTGTCATTGTCAGGATCATCTATTTTTAAAAATTCTTCTTTCTTTCTCCCATTTTCTGTTTGCACGATATCTCAAAATTGCTGCGAGCTACGCACATGGCAGCTTCAACAAACAATTGGCTTGGCACGGAATGGTCAGAATAAGCTGCTCAATGTGCAGTCATGTGTGACGTCATCTAAGCGCAATTTTGCGTGTTTTACATTATCGATCATATCATCGTAACCAAATGTCATTTCTAAATCATATTTACTGGGCATAAACTTTAGTTCAAGGTTGAATATCACGTACCAAAATATTTCGCATGCACCTCATAACGCGAACGCATGTGTGGGTTAAATTTTTTAAATGCTCAAAATCACTTTTTGACTAAATTAGAGCACCTTTTAGGCCATTCTGAGAACTTCAAAATTTTACACTATGCGCACGCATTTTTATGCACGCAACACGTACAGAAGCTCGAATTTACGTTTTTTTTTTACATATTTGGGTTCCTGACATTGTTTTCACAAATTTCCATTCTTTTCAGTCATCTTATGGCCAATAGAATAAAATCAGGCCTATTTTAAACAGTTAGCTCCTTAGGATGAAAGATGACCACCAATTTTTATTACATATTCTGAAAGCACATGAGTTATAAATATGATTTTATAGATCATAATGGCTGATCGGACATTGTGACGTTATCATATTGCCATCTGAATTTTAAAAAACTGAATTTATCTATGACATAATTTTTTAAAATACACAATTGAGCATATCTCGCTTATCCTTGGTCGATCGTCTGCCAACTTTGAGTATGTTATAGCTGAGACAATTCCCTTTCATATATGACTTCTCTTTATGATAAATATTGATAATAAATCTCTCACCAACAGACCTTTGTCAATGAGAGTCGATACATGTATATCTCATATAAGGAGTCAACATTATGTGCCATTACCATGCGCGCGTGCATCTTGACGTGTGCGTACGCATTAGAAAATCTTTTAAAAATGCTCGAAATTACTGTTTTTTCAAAAACTGAATTAGCATATACTTTAGGCCATTTTGAGCATTTAACAATTTTTCATTCCGCGCGCGCTTCCTGAGGGTCAAAGTGCGGTGGATCACCGCAGTGACGAGTTCAAATCTAGTTTTCTGAAATTCATGTACAGTGTATGTGACTGTAATATCTTGAAAAGAAGCCTATGCTATCTTTTCGAGGCTAATTTTGCAAACTAAAAAGTGGGGGGGGGGCTTCAATTCGAGATGGGCTTCATCTCGAGATTAAGCCCAGAAGGCTTCATTATTTCATACAGAAGATTAGCATACAAAATGTACATAAAAGAACTAAATCATAGAAGCATCTCAAGAGTTAAAGAATATAAATGTTTGGTAACTACCAATTCTAAATATATAAACTAATTAGCAAGACATTACAATTTAAATATTAATAATAAACTAACCTGGATACAAAATGTGTATTATCAGGACAAAAATTCACGCTCAGAACCCAGGAACTATGGCCGGATAATGTGCCTGTGAGATTCGCATGTTGACTGCAATTAAGTGAAATTGGCAATAATATTAGAGGTAGGGTACAGTAATATTTATACTAAAAACATTAATGATGCCATCAATAGCTCCACTTGCTAAGTATTTTCCATCAGGACTCTGAAAAAAAAAAAGTGTTTCAAGGTTTACATTAGTAGCATAAGCGCAGATCCATCAATATGTAGGTGTACAGTTTACATCATATAGTGATCATTTGTGGAGTCGAGTGGAATCACACCAAAGTACATTATTAATTAGCATCACTAACAATCACATTATATATTAAAGTGATGCAAACCATTTCAGCTTCGGCTGCCGTTTTGTAATTGTTTTTTATATGTTTATACCTGAATAAATAAATTAAAAAAAACAAAAACATTATTGTTATTTTATAACCCTTATTTTCTATGACCAAAGTATTGTTTTTTTCTTAATAAAATTCATGTTTAAAAGTTAACAAAATACAGAACCTTTTTTCCACAAAACAGATATGAGATGCAGACAGTTACCATGCCCATGCTTTCATCGAAAAATAAAAGCAAAACAGCCTAAAACATACTTGACCATGCTCCAATAAGTTGTATCCAAACAATATTATACATTTAATTTTTGTTGTGCCCCATTGATAATGTATTATACCATGAATATTACGTAGTGTAATATGAAGGTTATATAGTCATATTCATAAATTTCTATAGAGTACAACTGAAGATTAATTGATTATTTGATATTATGCCATGTACAATCACAGGATTAGTAACTGAAACTTAAGCAATTAATGTATGATTTTTTGAGAGCAATTATTAAATCAGAAAAAAATTAAGTAAAATTTTAAATATCACACCATATACTTACATATGCGACACTGAGTGTAAATTTGCCTCTGGTATCCAATGACGACTCCTTCTTTCCACTTTCAACACTAAATAAATTAATCTTGCCTGTATGGCTCCCAGTTGCCAAGTAACGGCCATCAGGAGAGAAGGATAATGTCCATGCATCAACTTTAAAAAAAAAACCAGATCAAAGTGCAAAGTAACTGATCTTGAACTCAGGCTTACTTTACTTCATCCTCAAATTCATTGCTTGCAATATACATCAAAAGTTAAAACAGTTAAAATAGTAAAAATTTGAAATAAGAAAGCTGTCAATTCATCTGTCACAACATCATTATAGAGTCTACCGACTGCATACACCTAAGCTAATTCCTCCCTGCGTATACCCAGTACTACCAAGACTTAACAGTCTAATATTCTTCAAGTTCAAGTTGCATACAAAAGTCTCTTAAAGATGTGAGGGTGACAAAACAGAAGATGGTTCAAAAAACATAACAAAACACAATTAGCTCGATGTTCCGCACACTATTGCAGACTTTTGTCTTGTCATCTTCACATGAGTGCATAAGCCCCTTTTTTTTCAGGATCTGTGCTCCGGCAAATGACTGGA